ATTTTATAATAAATCTTTGAAAATCAAAATCTGGATTTGAATTTTTAATGTTATTATAACCTAAAGATGCTATGTGAAAGTTTGAAACAGAAAATAGGGGTTTTCATCTTGCCACTTTCTTGGTAAAGAAAACACATTTTTACTCAAATGAATCCAAATGGATTTATAGCGTTTTGGAACCAAACTCTTCATATGCAAATCAAAACCAAAAAAGGCATTCACATTCCAAATGTAAAATTTATTTTCACAATTAGTTTATATTATTGTTATACCATGGTCTGTCTGAATACTTGATTCTGATTGGCTGGCAGGTATGGATTAAAACCGTTTAATGCACAGGTAGTTCCAAGTCAGTTTAATCACTGTTCTATATTAATGCGCTGCTTTAATTGATGCACACAAACACACACATCACTCGCACATAAACACAGTGAGAGAGGTCGGAGATCACAGATCGCGCTGCGCACACACAGAAACTTACATTATATTATATGTATCGCTACATTATATTTCTCAGCAAGGAGGGGGTAAAATCACTGTTTTTGAAGTAACTAAACAGCTTCATTGTTTGTAGAGAGAGACGCGGAGACACCGGTAACTCACACACAGAACTGTCATCTCTCTCTCGATCGATAATTCATTCAAATAAATGTGGTCTTACCGCACTATTTCATCTCTGTATCTGATTTGAAGTGGGCAGAATGCTAGATCTAAAGAGCATTAAACATTAAAATTGTTTAATGCACAGCTAGCCGTGCATTATCCCTTACTTAATTAATGAGTCTGAGTCTAAGAACTATGATCAATAAGGTTCTATTTAAAAAAAAAAATTTGATAAGAAAAGTTTTACAAGTGCACAAAAGGCTATTAATAAAAAAATAATATTTCAGTCCAGTACGATTATCTTCAGGGCTTCTTCAAATAAGGCATCTACCAGCAAAAGCTAACTTTCTAAGTCTATTAATAAATCAATTATACAGTCCACTGACTTTAGCTGGAAAAATGACTCTTTGTTATCGTCTTCTTGCATTATTGACAAACTATTTTCCTGTCTGACACTGTAAAGCTGCTTTGCCACAATCCGTATTGTATAAAGTGCTAAATAAATAAAGGTGACTTGACTATTATATTTCTAACCGATTCAACATTTGTTTGATTTAATTCTTCTTGATGCATAACTTCACTTTTTATATATTCATATTTCATTTTCAGCCTTTCAAACCTGCTATGATTTATTTTTATATAACATTTTTATATAAAATTTTACTTAGTACGCAAAAATACTACATATTACATTTCAAATAAATTTCTTAAGTAAATTTATTTCCTCCCCACCTGTTAACATTGAATTACTTATAAAATTACTTAAAATTAATAAATAAATATTGTGAATTTAATTAAATAACTAATTATGTAACCACTATAACAAAGTATACTCAGTTTAAACTAAATTGCTTGCTATTTAATATGCTAATACACATTGGAAAATAATTTAAACTCATTAACATTTACTCACATAAACATTATTACAGATAAAAAGGATAAGGATAAAACATAGAGTATCTTTTTTTTGTTGACTTGCAACAGTTTTATATTAAGTACTGAATTATGATTTAGTGTTCATGAGTCTTAAATCTAGTAAATATTCTTATAAGACAACTGACAGCATTAGAAGCCTTCGCAATACTTTTTTACTCTGGTTTGACCACAATATCAGTGAATCGATGCACCTGAGTGAGCTGACGTGAGCTGACTTTAAAAGCAACTTTTGAGTAGGGCTGGGTATCGTTAAAATATGTTCGATATCGATACCGATACCTTGACTTCAATACCGGTTCCTGAACGATAATTTTTTCGATACCAATTTTATGAAATCAATTTTAACAAGATTACATTATCTAAAAAAAAAAAAAACTTTTTATTTCTCAGCTTGTTGATGTTTATACAAACTCAAAGACTCATCTCCTGAGCCACTGCACAAAGGAACAATATGTAACCAACAGAATAAATCAGTGCAAATAGTTTTAATACAGCTAAAATAGTCTTCCGTTTACACATCTGTTAGGCTACATTTACACTAGTTAGTAGGGATGTAACGATTAACCGCGAGCCGGTTGAAAATCGATTCAAATATGTGACGATTCAAATCGGTTGAGATGCTAAACAAATCGCGCCGCTATTAGGGGTAGGAGTTTATATGAAGGGGAACTTACTGTCTTTAGAAAAGTTTAGATGGTATTT